ATGCGGAAGCAGCCACTGGGGCCGTCGGTGGTGGGGCTCCCTATGGGGGCCATGAAGCGTGTAAGGTGTGTGCCAAAAAGGGTGCGGTGGGCGCATGAGTACGCTGGCGGCTGTGCCTTCGGTGGCGCTCCCTATGGGGCCACGAAACATGTGAGGGGTGTGCAAAGACAGAAACATGTGGAGGGCAGGGGCAAGGAGCGGAGAGGAGCAGACGAGGGGCGCTCTCTTCAAAAGAGGACGCAACACCACAGGATGGTTTGGGGAAAAAGCTTTGAGCCCCAGGAGGGACACTTTGACTGAATAACATGAAGTCGACGAGCAGGGGGGATCCTAAGTTACTATTCCTTTGAAGGGGATATTCAGCAGCGACGAAACACGCAACAATTCTAATAAGCACCGCGCAACCCAACGCCCAGGGATAGTGAATGACCGTTCGGCCCCCCCTCTCTCTGGTATGGTGGTCGCCCTCATCCTGCTCCTCCTCCTCCTCCTCCACAACGCTTATCCTCTTGCTGCTGCTCCTCCCATTCCACTGCTCTTCTCGGGGTAGACATGGGGGCTGGCGTGCGGGGTGTCCCGGTAGCGTCGATTTGCCAGAGCGCCGTGGTGTAGTGGCAGGCGGCGGGGTTGTATCGGGGCATCGGGGTTTCTCGGTGTCGCGGCGCCGAGGTGCCGCGGCACCGAGAAGTCGCTGTGCTGCGGTGTGGCTTTCGCGGTGTAGTTAATGGTCGAAGCCTGAGCTCAAGCTCAGGTCAGGGCTTAATGTCCGCCGACCCCGCTTGCCCAGGTGGAGAAGGCGTGTGATATGATCGGCTGTCCCCCTCCCCCCTTCCCCCTCCCCCAGGGCCCGAAATCCTGTTCAACGGGGGGGGATGGGGGGGGGGAAGGGGGGGAGGGCGGGGGGGAGCGTCTGGGCTCCTCGGCGCACCCGTGGAGACTCCGGAGCGTCCAAATCTGCCTTCCGTGTTCTCAACAGGCCCAAGACGGTCCCGACTCGCGGAACGATTGGCCGGAGACGCCTGCGATGGCTCCAAGACGCACCAAGACGCCTTCGAGACGCCCCGAGAGCCTGCCCGAGAAGGGCCCCTAGAGGCACAATCAATGGTTTGCACGGGGTCTTTCACTGTTTCTGGGGTTATCGTGTTCTCGAGCTTCCGACGCGCCCCAAAACTGCCAAAGAGGGTTACAAGACGGCCCAAAGAGGGGCCCAAGATTGCCAACGATCGTCCCAAGGGGGCCCCAAGCGAGGCAAAGAGGGAGAACACGAACCGAAAATCCAATCTTTCCGCCTCCAAGAGGCCCAAAAAGGCTCCAAAAGGCCCCAAGAAACCCCGGAACGGCCCAGAAGAGGCCCCCCCAATGGGCCCCAAGAGGCCCCCGAGAGACTCGAGAGAGGCTCCCAGTCGGCCCCCAACACGCTTCAGAACTGCCCCCCTGGAGGCTCCGCCAGGCCCCCCAAGCAGCTTCCAAGCTTCCAAGACGCCCTCAAGAATCCCCGCGCAGTGCTCAAGAAGCCCACAACGCCTCAACCGTGGGCCCCACGCCTACCCTCGGGGTCGGCGGGATGGCGTACAATCGGACCTAGGCCAGAAGAGCACCCCTCGAGACCATGAGACCCTCCGCCGGCCAGAGCAAACAGAACACCCAAGGGTTCCATCCCCAGGATGCACGAGAACATCCAACACGCACGAAGAACACGAGGGCACCCTCCCCGAATCGACCTCGACCTTACGCCTCGGCCCGACTGCATGTGCTGCGCCCTGCGCGCAGCAAAGGGGCGAAGTCGTACGTCTGGCGCTTTTTTTTACGTCGAGGGCCAGAATTCAAATCTTTGGGAAGCCAGCGGGCACCAATTCCGCTACTCCCCAGGCCTCCCGAGGGTAATTACGAGGAGGAGGAGGAGGAGGAGGAGGAGGAGGAGGAGGAGGAGGAGGAGGAGGAGGAGGAGAGGGAGGAGGAGGAGGAGGAGGAGGAGGAGGAGGAGGAGGAGGAGGAGGAGGAGGAGGAGGAGGAGGAGGAGGAGGAGAGGAGGAGAGGAGGAGGAGGAAGGAGGAGGAGAGGGGGAGGAGGGAGGAGGAGGAGGAGGACGAGGAGGACGAGGACGAGGAGGAGGAGGAGGAGGAGGAAGAGGAGGAGGAGGAGGCTCTGACCCAAAAGTTTCGAGGCGAGTTCCGTCATGGCGGCGAGGGCCTTCCAAGAGGCTCCACGCAGAGGAGCCCCGAGGGCCGGGCGGCGGCCTCGGCGCCCCCGTCCGCCTCCGAGATCGGGATGCCTCGCACGCATGCGCCAGACCACCGCCTCGTTGAGACGATCGCCTACATCGAGTCGGGGATCGACTACAGAATTGATTTGCCCCAAACTTGTTTTTTTTTTCCGGTCGAATCTACGAAAATACGCTGGACGTTGGCACATCTCCGAACATCATACGCATGTATTGTTGAAGATCTGGCGAGAACTCTGACTTTGGGGGCAAGTCCATTCTGCAAGCAATCTCCTACTCGACCAGGGACAGGCCCCCTCGGGTGCCCCTCCGTGCCGGCTGCAGCCGCTCTCGAACCCCCAGCCCCCGCCCAGCGTCCGACTGCAGGGGAGGGCGGGCGGAGGGAGGGAGAAGGGAGAGGGACAAATTTAGGTCGGGCGTGTCCCGCTGCAGGCGCAGTTTGGACGGAAATCAAAACATACACCAAAATCGAAGCTACAACACACATGCACCAAACATACACAAAAAAACGATGTTTTTACTATCTCTGAATATTTCGCCTGTAGAGGGACAGGCCCAACTTACGCATAGATGGTGGCACGGGTGATCATCTTGCAGGCGCACGCTGGGTAATTAAAACAGTGCAGGCATGCGTGCGCCTCGGCGCGAGGACGGCCAGTACTGGAGCGAGAGAGGGAGAAACAAGAGAGAGAGAGAGAGAGAGAGAGCTAGCTAGCGAACGAAGGCAACTGCCGTCGCCGGGGAGGGCCAGCGTCTCTGCAAGGGGGGCATGCGCGCCGGAAGCACGCTGGCCCTCTCTGGAGGCCTGGGAGGCAGCGGGCAACGGGGACTGCAGGTGCAAATCCGAAGGGGCTCCGCGGAAGCTCGGTGCCCCTGCGACGCCCCTATGGAGAACGGCAACATTGATGGGCCTGTTTTCCACCACCACCGCCACAAGGTGAGGGGGGAAGGAAGAGGAGGACGAGGAGGAGGACGCAGAGGAGGAGGAGGTGGAGGAGGAGGAGGAGAAGGACACCCTCCCCCTCCAACGTATGGTGGTGGTGGTGGTGGTGGTGGTGGTGGTGGTGGTGGTGGTGGTGGTGGTGGAAAACAGACTGCTCTTGACCTTCGATGCGGGGTGCTTCGCGTGCCCGCCTCATCGATGCAGCCGTGGGTGCCGTCCTCGGAGCCCGCGGGCGAAACGGCAGTGGGGCCCACTGTGGGCTACTCACTCCTGCCGCCGCGCCCGTCCGTCAGCTCGCCGACCACACCGCCGGTGTGCATCTCCGCTTCACACCTTGGACGCTCCAGGCCGTGCTTTTTCGTTGCTTGGTTTGTTTGTGTGCGTGTGTCAGTGCGCGTGTGTGAGGGAGCTCCAAACTTCTACGCTTGTCCTGTCTGCGAACACGAATATACGCCCCGACAAGCGGCTCCCCTAACTAATTCGAGCAGGATGACACCCAAGGCGAAGCCACGCAGGTCACTGTCCGTCCCTCAAAGGGGGAATTTCGGACAAAGACGGCGGCCATGAACACTGGGCCTTCCAACCGCACGGGAGCGCAGCCCCAGGTCAAGACGACGCCTCCGAGGTCCGAGCTACTTGCCCGCTCACGGGGCTCGGACCTGGCCCCGATGCTCCCACCGACGAGGAGGATCGGAGGCCAAGAACAGAGGAGGACCATCCGTACAATGGCCAGTCAAATGCAAATTGGTCCAGTGCGCCCCCACGGATGCAAATTTCTGGCACCTGCAACTGTTGAGAACAGGTGGTGAGGTACGGGCATGGTCGCAGGCTCGTGGGCGTGCGCCAGCCGAAGATCTAACAAAAGAGAAGCTCGACAACTCGACGATTTAGCCAGAATGGACTGACCGACCAGTTCGCGGGCATTGCGAAACGCCTCTGCCGATTAAGGACTGCCGTTCGCCGCCCTGGAAGTTCGCCATGACGGGCTACCTTGTCCGACAGCGGCATGGAAATACATACGGCTTCTTGTTATGCGTCCTCACTGTAGTTGCAAGACGCCCGTCTGGGGTGGTCGTCCTCCACCGGTGGGCGGCGATGCGGGCTGCGGGGCAGGCGGACCTCACGGAGGAGGAGGAGGAGGAGGAGGAGGAGGAGGAGGAGGAGGAGGAGGAGGAGGAGGAAGGAGGAGAGGGGGAGGAGGGAGGAGGGAGGAGGGAGGAGGGAGGAGGAGGAGGAGGAGGGAGGAGGGAGTAGGGAGGAGGGAGGGGAGGAGGGAGGAGGAGGAGGGAGGAGGGAGGAGAGAGGAGGGAGGAGGGAGGAGGAGGAGGACGAGGAGGAGGAGGAGGAGGAGGAGGAGGAGGAGGAGGAGGAGGAGGTGACGATGCTGTCTCGGACCTCAGGAGCGCGCAGCGTGCTCTCGACGTCGTCGATCCGCGCCTCGCCGTCGAGGCTGTTGAGTTCGACGTCGAGGCCGTCGCCAAGCTCCGCCATCGGAGGGAGCCACCGGTACAGCAGGCTCAGCTCCCGCACGTACGTACATCATCTGGACTTTGAGTTTCGCAATGAGCTCGCCGATCCTGGGGTAAAACTGTTTGCAAGAATCGGTCTCCACTGATCGGGGGCGGCCAAGAGGGGGATGTCCAAGAGGGGGGGGTGCAAATCATGGCTGGCGGCATGTGCGCGGCCCAAGGGGTGGGGGGGCCAGGGACGTAACGAAATCAGAAGAGGCGCCATGAAATCTGAGGAAACATCATGGCCCACGCCATGAAATCGACCCCCCCCTAGTCATCCCCCCCCCCTCTTTGCCGCCCCCGAACTGACTCCTGGCGAAAAACTCTATGACAACCTTCCCCCGCTCGCCCTTCCAGCCGAAGGAGCCGGTTGGCGGCGTCCGCGGCTTTCGCCAGCGAGGCCCAGCCACGCACCCACCATCGGGGGCCTGAGCACCTGGTCCTGCAGGCGATGGCGGATGGAGGGGTCCAGATCGTGCTTCACGCACGTGATTGGGAGCAACGTGTCGTCCCAATCGAATCTGACGACCGTCTGCGTCTTCTCTCCGAACTGCGCGTCGGAAATCTGCCAGTCCAACGGCATGCCGAGTAGAAGGCGAAATCTGCCGAGCGAGCTGCTCGACCGGGGTGGCACTCTGGTGTCCCTTCTGCCCGCGACCTCCTGGCAAAGTCCGCACAGCCTCCATGGCGAACTTCGCCATCCCAACGCTTGCCAGCCCGTCGTCTCCTCCCAACGGCCCTGGGATGTTGTCGCACGGCTTGCAGAGTACGCCCTTCCTGCCGATGACGCAGTCGTGGACTTGCCCAAACTCATACCAATGATTGAACAATACAGGTCTCCGTGGCCACGCCCATGGAAGATGTCCGCTGGCCCTCTTAGGGGCCAACAGGCTGCGAGGCAGAGGCGTCCTGTTCCCTGTAACAGCTCCAGTGCGAAGATTCCCAGTGTATCTATTATTAAGTTGCTGGCTCAGCTGTTGCGAGCGCCCCTGACCAGAAACAAACCACCACGTCCGAATCAAGTTTTCCATATTTCTATCGGTGCACAGGACTACATAAAATCCGCCGACCCTGTCTCCGTCGCCGCTCCCCCCCTCTTTCTGGGTCCCCCTTCTCAAACACATCCCAGCCACATGGAAATCAGGCAACGTTGCAATCGAGTTGAAGGGATGCCCCTTCCCGTTGGTCCGTCTCCCGCCGGGGGGGGTAGGTCTCCGGGGGGTGGTGGTGGGGGCCCTGGGGGGTTGTGACCCCCCCGCCACCCAGGGAGGAGCACTCGTCCCTGGGAGAAGCTTTTCCCTCTCGATGTCTTGCCTCTCGTACTCCTCGAGCTCACTAGTACCGCGGCTTGCTGCAAGATGGCCCTTAAACAACCCAAGATCGCTCCAAGACAGCCTCCGAAGCCCCCAAGACGCCCCCAAAAGCCTCGAAGAGGAGCCCCACGAGGACCCCAAGAGGCGAAAACCAATGATTATCATTTAGTCGTTTTATGTGTTTCGCGTCCTCGCCTTTTCGGGCTTCCGACGCTCCCAGACGGCCCAGGGACCCACCATGGCTCCCAGGCGGTCCAAGAGAGTGACGAAAGCGCCCGAGAACTGCCCAAGACGGCCCGAAGACGGCCCAAGACGGCGCCAAGAAAACACAAGAGGTCCTCAGGACGGCCGAATGAGGCCCCGAGGCCGAACACCAGTCGACATCTCGAGCCTCCCGCCCCAAGACGCCCCTTGAAGGCGCCAAGAGGCGCCCAAGGAGCTGCCAAGAGGCCCCCACACCCAAGAGGCGCAAGAGAGCCCCGAGAGCACTCCAAAGAGAACCCCAAGAGGGTGGGCTCTGGCCGCAAGGCCTTCACAATACTACTGACTCGCGATCCCGAAACCACGATCCCTCGCAGATTGCACTGCGGTCGCGGTCCCGAGGCTAACGCCCTCGTATACATTACCTATACACGACCACCCTTCGGGTGATAAGGAGGTCCGGGGGGGAGGAACCAACGTCTCACTCGATCGGCCTCACTATCGATCTTACTATCGATCTCACTATCGGTCTCGCCCGATCGATCTCACCCGATCGATCTCACAATCGATATCACTCGATCTATTTCACTCGATCGATCTCACAATCGATACGACTATCAATATCACAATCGATCTCACTATCGATCTCACGATCGATCTCACAATCTATCTCACATTCGGTCTCACTATCGATATCTCAATCGATCTCACAATCACTGTCATCATCATCATCGACACCATCATCATCAACGTCATCAACATCACCATCATCATCATCATCATCATCATCACCATCATCATCATTATCATCATCATCCTCATCATCGGGACACCATCATCATCATCACCTCATCACCATCATCACCAACATCATCATCATCACCACCATCATCATCATCTGGGCACCATCATCGTCACCACCAGCATCCTCAACACCATCATCACCATCACCGAATCACCACCACCATCATCATCATCATTTCATCATCAATATCGCGAACAACATCGCCAACATCATCATCATCATCGGGACACCATCATCATCAGCGACATCATCATCATCAGCATCATCATCATCGGGACACCATCATCATCGTTACCATCATCATCACCATCATCATCAGCGGGGCACCATCATCATCATCAAAATCAAGATCAGCATCATCGTGCCACCACCATCAAATTCATCAAATCATCATCACCATCCTCATCATCAACAACAGCATCATCGGAACATCATCATCGTCACCATCATCATCATACTCATCATGATCATCGGGACACCATCATCATCATCACCAGCATCATCATCATCAACACCATCATCATCAACCTCGTCATCATCATCATCGGGGCACCATAAGCATGATCATCTTCATCATCATCATCCCATCATCTCATCATCATCAACCTCATCAGGGTCATCAACATCATCATCACTGGGACACCATCATCATCATCAGCAACATCAGCATCATCAACACCATCATCGGGACACCATCATCATCACCACCATGGCCATCAGCATCATCATCACCACCATCCTCACCATCATCGTCACCATTAGCATCATCATCAGCATCATCATCATCGGGACACCATCATCATCATCGGACCACCACCATCATCATCATGTCATCACCATCATGAACAACAGCATCATCATCATCATCATCGGGACACCATCATCAGCAGCAGCATCATCAACATCATCGTCATCATCGAAACACCATCATCATCGTCACCATGATCATCATCACCATCGGGACACCATCATCATCAACAACAGCATCATCATCATCATCGGGCCACCACCATCAAAATCAGCATCATCACCTCATGAACATCCTCATCATCAACATCATCATCATCATCATCGGGACACCCTCATCGTCATCATCATCATCATCAACATCACCACCATCATCATCACCATCATCGTCATCAACAGCATCATCATCAACCTCATCATCATCAACCTCATCATCATCATCGAAACACCATCATCATCATCTTCATCATCACCCCATCATCATCATCAACATCATCAGGATCATCAACATCATCATCATCATCAGCAACATCATCATCATCGGGGCATCATCATCACCATCATCACCATGGCCATCATTATCATCATCAACATCGTCATCATCAACATCATCCTCATCATCATCATCATGATTATCATCATCATCATCCTCATTATCATCAACATCAACATCAACATCAACATCAACATCAACATTATCATCATCACCATCATCATCATCAGAATCATCAGAATCATCATCATCATCATCATCATCATCATCATCATCATCATCATCATCATCATCATCATCATCATCATCATCATCATCATCGGGACACCGACGGGACACCGGCGGGACACCGGCGGGACACCGCGCGCCACCGTTTGCCGGAAGAGAGACTTTTGGTCCGGCCGCGCCTCAGCCAGAGGAGGGACATTTCTGGCCCGCCCACGCAGCTTGGCCTCGCCAGCACGAACGGCACGCACGAACACGAAACCGAAACCGATGTCCCGGTAGGGGGGCTCTCCGTTCCACTTCGATCTCACCCCCTCACCTCCGACAACAAGTTCGCGCTCCCAAAGCCGCAGCCTATTTGCAAATCGCTGCGCGCTCGCGCCCACGAAGCCACAACAAAGAGTTACTGACGCTGAGTTCGCGCCCTCGAAGCCAACGCCCCTCGTGCGTCCCACCAGCCTTTTGGGCTAGGGTGGTCTAGCGAGTTCCTTCTTTCCTCTTCCAGGAACTCTCTTCTCTTCGGGGAGGGGTACCCTCCTCCTCCCCTCCATGTTTGTTGTTTTTGTTGGGGAAAGATGGCTCCAAGAGGGCATCCGATGCCCCAGAATGAGATGGCCTCCAAAGTGGCCCAAGATAGCCGACGATGGTTCAAGACAACTTCCATCATTCCCCCAACAAGCCCAGCGAGAGCCACACGACGGCTCCAAGGGCTCTTCTCTGAGTCCCGTCAGGGTCCCCCCCGAGAGGCCAACATCCTTCGAACACCTAGGGATCATCAGTGATGTTTGCTGTCTCGCTTTTTCTCTCCAGATGCGCTTCCGAGGCCTTCAGGGCGCCCAAGAGGGCCCGCGAGATGCTCAAGATGGGGCTCGAGAGGCCGGCCCCGAGAGGGCCCCCAAAGAAGCGACTTCGAGGGCTCTCGAGAGGGGGGGGGGCGGGAATTTGGGACCCCCCTCCTGTGATCGACGCACTACAAGATGGGTGACGGCGTACCCTGTCGCAGGCCTCGAGGCTGACACCAGCACTGATAGATCGGCGGTGTGCCTCCACCGAGGGAAGAAGATCCCGATCTCGGTGGTGGTGGTAGGTGGTGGTAATACTTTTGCTTCCAAGGTGACCGACAAATGACCACCAACGAAGAAGTCTAGAATCATCCTCCCCCTGTGGAGGCAAACCCCTCCCTCTCCTCCTTCTCCCTCTCCTCCTCCTCCACCTCCTCCTCCTCCTCCTCCATCACCTCCTCCTCCATCTCCTCCTCCTCCTCTACTCCTCCTCCCTCCTCCTCCCTCCTCCCTCCTCCTCCTCCTCCTCCTCCTCCTCCTCCTCCCTCCTCCCTCCTCCCTCCTCCCTCCTCCCTCCTCCCTCCGCCCTCCTCCCTCCTCCTCCGCCAACGACCATGGGGACGACAAGGGTCTCAGTGTATCTGATCATGCACACGAATACATGCACAGACGCGGGGGGGATGCGGAGGAAAGAGGGGTTAGCATCGGCGTCTTGCTGGCCTGTCCCCCCTTTTCGTGCCAACGTCCCGATAGGAATCCAAGGGAACCAGGGAAACCGACAGAGTGGGACCCAGGTCAACGCCATCGCCAGTGACATTGTGGAGGCTAGAGATTGCTGTAAACCGAGGCTGCGATCTGCTCGTCCTGGCTTCTATCGCCAGAAAACCCTACACTTCCAGCTAAAATTGTTTCCATATTGGTAGCAAGAACAGACGGGAGGAGATCGGCAATCGAAATAAGCTGTGCACTTGCAGACAATCCGACACCTGCCATAGCCTCTGGCTCTCAGGAGATGGCAGATTTCGAGCAAGGACGTCAGTAGAGGATGTCTCCTCCTCCTCCTCCTCCTCCTCCTCCTCCTGCTCCTTCTTCCCCTCCCCTCGCACCCCCGCGGGCCCCAGGGGTGGCCCGAAGAGGCCCTCCAAGGCCACCCCCTTGCTACCAAAGATCTCTCTGCTCATCCTGATTGCCAGTTCTTTGTCACTGAATGTGTCTTTTCGTTCCTTTTCCCGCCAGCTCTCCTGTACA